GAGAGCGAAACTCCGTCCCAAAAAAAAAAAAAAAGAATGCGGTAACTTATAGTGGAAAATGAATGCTCTTGTTTTTTTTCTTTTTCCCTTTGACATGGGGTCTCGCTGTGTTGACCAGGCTGGTCTCTAACTCCTGGGCTTGAGCAATCCTCCAACATTGGCCTCCCAAAGTTTTGGGATTACAGGCATGAGCCACGCACCCAGCCCATCTCCTTCTTAAGAAACCTTTTCTTGTGGTTGGTATGTTCCTGGTGGGTATGGGATTTGATTTTACCTTATTAACTAATAAGTTAGCTTGTTACTGTTTCATGTCTTTGCCATGATTGAGTTGTAATAGGGGTTTAGGGGCCTGGTTCAGTGGCTCACTCCTGTAATCCCAGAACTTTGGGGGGCTGAAGTGCGAGGATTGCTTGAGCCCAGAAGTTTGAGACCAGCCTGGGCAATGTGGCGGAACCCCATCTCTACAAAAAGTATAAAAATATCTGTGTGTGGTGGCATGTGCCTGTAGTCCTACCTATCTGGGAGCTGAGGTGTGAGGATTGCTTAAGCCTGGGAGGTTGAGGCTGCAGTGAGCCATAATCGTGCCACTGAAAAAAAGTGGCTTAATGTTTATGCTTTTCCCACTTTATATGTATATTTAACACTGGATGTTTGATACACTGTTGTGGAAACTTTTTTTTCAATTAATGATGTTACTTTTTCTTTTTGAAAAGTACAAATGAAATACTTAGCTTAGAAAAACAATGTATGAGCTAAGAAAAAAACCTTTGCTGTTTAATGGTTGGGCTTGTGCTAGTGTCCTTTCCCAAGGCCAGGAAGCATTTGGGATGAATTTTACCTGTTTATAGTTGTGCTGACTGCTTGGCACACATTGTCTTCTTATGACAAACAATAAGCACATGTTAGTTAAACTAGTTGTTTTTTTTCTCTTTTTAGATGTCCGTAGAAGAATTGAACTTATTCAGGATTTTGAAATGCCTACCGTATGTACCACTATTAAGGTGTCAAAAGATGGACAGTACATTTTAGCAACTGGTAAGTGTCTTTTTGGTTATGATTTCCATGTACTCTTTACCAGGAAATGCTGTGATAGGAAAGATTTTGTTTTTTTTTTTACCCTAATATTTTATTATAAAAAATTTCAAACAGTAATATTGAAAAAATTATAAACACCCATTTACTACCTAAATTCTGCAATAAATAGTTTACTCTGCAGTATTTGACTTATCCCATGCATCTGCCTCTTTGTTCATACATCAGTCCATCTCGTTTCTTTGCTGTGTTTCAGTGTAAGTTGCAGATACCAGTATATTTCACCCCAAAACACCTCAGCATATATATCGTTAGCTGGAGTTCAACATTTATCAATATTTATTTGTAGCTTTTTACAAAGTAAAAAAAAAATGTATATTGGTGAAATGCATAGATCCTAAGTTTACCATTTGATTAATTTTGACAAATCCACACACCTGTGTAACCCAAAGCTCTCTCAAAACATTTTTTTCCTGCAGAAAATTGCTCCCACCTATGCACAGACCACCATTGCTGATTTTTTTCAGTACACAGAAGTTTAGCCTGTAGTTATACACTGTATATTCTTTCTCTGTAAGACTTATTTCATGTATTTGAGATTCATACATGTTTTTTTTTTTTTTTTNTTCACCACGATGGCCAGGCTGGTCTTGAACTCCTGGCTTCAGGTGATCCACCCACCTCGTGGCCTCCCAAAGTGCTAGGATTACAGGCGTGAGCCACCGCGCCTGGCCGAGATTCATACGTGTTGTTATATGTGTCGATAGCTTTTTAAAAAATTACCAAATAGTATTTCGTTATATGACTAAACCAGTTTATTTAGCCATTCTCCATGTGATGAACACCTGGGCTATTTTCCTTCATTTTTTTGGCTATTACTAGTAAAGGGCTATGAACAATCTCACAGAAGTCTGTTTTGTGGATATACACTTTCATGTCTTTGGTAATACCTAGGAGTGGAATTTTTGGGTCCTGGGGTAGGTATAGGTGTAGCGTTATGGGAAACTTCCAAGTCTTTTCCCAAAGTGATCATATCATTTTCATTCCCACTAACAATGAATGAGAGTTTTAGGAAAGGTCACTTATAACGTGATTTTTTGTGTCATATACCAATTTTTAAAAATGTCCGTAACATTTTACATTAACAGTATTTATCATTATCAAAAAATCCTGGAATTTAGAGAAATTTTTTATTTGGAGACGGAGTCTTGCTCTGTGGCCAAGGCCAAAGTACAGTAGCGCGCTCGGCTCACTGCAGCCTCTGCCTCCTGGGTTCAAGCAATTCTCCTGCCTCAGCCTCTCGAGTAGCTGGGACTACAGTAGGCACACGCCACCACGCCTGACTAATTTTTTGTATTTTAGTAGAGACGGGATTTCACCATCTTGCCCAAGTTGGTCTCCAACTCCTGAGCTCAGGCAATCCACCTGCCTTGGCCTCCCAAAGTTCTAGGATTACAGGCGTGAGGCACTGTACCTGGCCAGTTTAGAGAACTTTTAATATGTTGGAATGTTAAACAGTATGTCAACATTTAGTGGTTGTGATTTTGGTGCATATGTCCTATATTCTGTCCAAACATTTTTCACTGATGTAGTGGTAACAGTATTCCTTTTCCAACCACTTGCATTTTGGTAACACCTTTTATACATATACAGGCCAGTCTCTTTTGCTTTGTGTTAATGATTATGTCCGTACTAACTAACACTGTCTACATCTCTTTGCCTTCAGTTTTATGTTCAAAAACTGGTAAAAAGAATTGAGGAAATCTAAGCTATATGGACATCCTTATTGGAGACTAGAAGAAACTTAAAGATTTAATTCATTTTCTTCATATTAGAGATCCAGAGATAATAAGTGACTTGTCTAGGCTCCCAGATCTAGTACTTAAGAAAGCTAGAATACTGATTTGTTAAATGATACTTTCTTTTATGAAATCATCCTCTATTCCCATCCAAAATTAATGGCTTTTTTCTTTTTGAAACGGAGTCTCAGTCTGTCACCCAGTGTGGAGTGCAGTGGCATGATTTTGGCTGACTGCAACCTCCACTTCCCGGGCTCAAGCGATTCTCGAGTCAATCTCCTGAATAGCAGGAACTACAGGTGCACACCACCATACCCAGCTAATTTCTGTATTTTTTTTAGTAGAGACAGGGTTTCACCATGTGGGCCAGGCTGGTCTCGAACTCCTTGCCTCAAGTGATCTGCCTGCCTTGGCCTCCCAAAGTGCTGGGATTACAGGCATGAGCCACTGCACCCAGCCTAATGGCTTTTCTTATTTAGAACTCCTTGGTTTTATTTTATCTTAAAAAATATTTCATAAGTAATACGTGGGTCTGGTGTGGTGGCTCATGCCTGTAATCCCAGCACTTTGGGAGGCCATGGTGGGTCGATCACCTGAGGTCAGGAGTTTTAAGACCAGCGTGACCAACATGGTGAAACCTTGTCTCTACTAAAAATACAAAAATTACTGAGGCGTGGTGGTGTGCACCTGTAATCCCAGCTACTTCAGAGGGTGAGGCAGGAGAATCGCTTGAACCCAGGAGGCAGAGGTTGCAGTGAGCCGAGATCATACCACTCCGCTCTAGCCTGGATGACAGAGCAAGCCTCTGTCTCAAAAAAAAAAAAAAAAAAAGACAAAGTGCCAAAGTTACCATTGCATTGTACAGAGTTGTATCAGTTATAGAAAATTAAGATCATATTATATTCTATGGGCCTGTGCCCTGTCTGTACTTTTACTTTATAGTACGCTTTGGCAGCTTTCCATGTCAGTGCTTACAGGTCTGCCTCATCCACTTTATGGGCCATGTAATAGTCCTTTGTGTGGATTTACTGTCATTTATTTAACCATTTTCCTGTTAGTGGACTTTTATTTGCTGACCATTTATAAATAATGCTGCAGTGAACGTCTTTGGCAGGCTCGTGGATATTTTTCTGTGAGTTCAATTTGTATAAGTTGACCTATAGATTGAAAGTATAGAAACATCATGTATTTTAGGGATTGTCCTTCAAAAAAGTTGTATCAGTTTTGTAGTAATCAACAACAGTATATGGAAATATTTTATACTTTCACCAACGCAGGTATTAACCATCTTTTTTATCTTTGCCATTATGGTGGAGGAAACTGTTTTATTGTTTTAATCTATTTTGTTAGGTTGCTTGTGAAGTTTATTAGTTATTTGTGTTTTGTTTTCTATGACTTGGTTAATAGCTTTTGCTCATTTTTTCCTCGAGGTGTTTGAGAGGAGCTGCTTTTAAATTCCTTTCTTATGATTTGGTTGCATTTAATCCTGCCTGTCGCTGAACAAGAAATACGCTCATTGTATCTGTGGATGTTGACTATGAAAAGTATGTCTTTAGGTTTTATATCACATTAATTTTTTGTAGGAACATATAAACCTCGGGTTCGATGTTATGACACCTATCAATTATCCTTGAAGTTTGAAAGGTGTTTAGATTCAGAAGGTGAGTAAGAAGCTAAATTTAAATTCATGAAAATGGCTTTTTATGTTTGTCTGCTCTTCTGGTTTTAAAATAGGAATGGTTTATAATTAGTTTTCTATTGTTATATAACAAATTACTGTATTACAATGCTGATGGCTTAGAACATCCATTCAGTAGCTTGCAGTTTGTGTAGATCTGAAGTCTGTGCAGGTTTTGTGCTAAGAGCCGGGGTCTGGGTATTGACCAGATGGAGCTCCGCCCTGGAGGTGCTGGGCAAGAAGATGCTTCCACGTGTTAGTTTGCAGTTCTTTTAGAATTGACTATCAGCTTTTTCTTGGCTTTCATGGAAAGCTACTACAGATGCGAGCCACCATGCCCCACTAATTTTATAATTTTGTAGAGATGGAGTCTAGCCGTGTTGCTCAGGCTGGTCTCAAACTCCTGGCCTCAGCCATCGTTTTGCCTTGGCCTCCCAAAGTGCTTGGATTCCAGGCATGAGCCACTGCACCCAGCCTGTGTTTTGGATCTCTCTGTCTCTTCTGCTGCCAGCCAGAGAAAACTCTGCTTTTAAAGGGCTCATATGGGCCGGGCGCAGTGGCTCAAGCCTGTAATCCCAGCACTTTGGGAGGCCGAGGCGGGTGGATCACGAGGTCAAGAGATCGAGACCAACCTGGTCAACATGGTGAAACCCCGTCTCCACTAAAAATACAAAAAATTAGCTGGGCATGGTGGCGCGTGCCTGTAATCCCAGCTACTCAGGAGGCTGAGGCAGGAGAATTGCCTGAACCTAGGAGGCGGAGGTTG